GAAGGGGAATGATGACAGAGCTAGGCCTAGACCGGTGCTGGCAGAGTTTGCAAGCCCCAACATGAGAGACCTACTGCTGGCTGCCGCAGAGAAAGTCAGGATTGCGTCCGATAACAGGGCAAACGTTGAGCCGGATATGTCAACGAAGTCTCCACATTTATTCCCCATAACGTATCACACTAGCACTGCGAGGCCTATTGTAAGGATTGAAAAACTGCAAGGAAGAGCATTGCATGCAGCCCCCGGGCCACAAACAGTTCCCAGTCAATACGAATGAACTCGCAAAACCGAAAAATGATAAGCACCAGACGGCTCCGGGCATCAAGGGAGTCTACTATTGTTGAAAAGTCAGCGGACGCTGAGCACTGTAATAGTAGACCGCGGGAAACCAGTCCAACAAATAGTAAAAGAGTATTTCTCTCGCCATCACTATCGCCCGAAATGCATAAGGGTAAGAAACAAAGGGTGACTCTTTCCGTGAGAGGCCTAATGCACAAACCAGAGACCCAAACAACGATGTACATGAGGCAAAAACGCCCTAAACCCTCGAGGGATACACCCGAGGGGTTTTCGAACTTAGCAAACTCTCAAACTGGGAAGCCACAGGGGAGTAACCTAACGGTATGTTATACTAACGCCTGCAGCCTCAGAAACAAGTGGGGGGAATTGGAGAATCGGCGCCAAAGGACAAACATCACCGCAATATCTGAAACTAAGCCAACCTCAGAGGACCCTATGAACTGTCTACTGTTAAATGAACGCTTGACCTACCAGGTACATAGACCGAACGGGCGCCACGACGGGGGAGTTCTCCTAATGATAGTCTAACTACGTTCAATGGGAGCGACCATATTCGCTATGCGTTGATAGCATCCAGGCCATCGCATGTACTCTGAGTATGGGAAAACGAGCAGTAGCTTGTGTCTACCGCAGCCCAGAAGCAACTGTGGATGAGGACAATGAGCTTTTAAACTTCTTGTCAAGGGTGAAGCGTGATTCCCCTGAAGTGTTAATATTGGGGGAATTTAATGCTCCTAACATAAACTGGCTAGCGAGGAATGGGGCTGCAAATACTTTCGAGGAATACTTCCTCGATTGGTCCCAAATTTGTGCAGTGTGGCAGCACGTGCTGCAACCCCCCAGATTCCGCATGGATCATCAACCACCTCTTCTTGATTTCGTCTTTACCACAAGTGAGCATGATGTGTGCGGGATCAACATAGACCCAACGCTAGGGACAAGTGACCACTGTGGCATCACATTTGAACTCCGGCTCCTAAAGAGACCCATAAGAACCAAGAGGGCCAGGAACTTTGGAAGAATTGACCAAGATGAGCTAATCAGAAAGGCACATGTACGCGATTGGGTATCGACTGTGGCCAATCCCACGGTAGAAGAGAGGTGGCAAACCATAAATCGTGGTATAGTCGAGATTATAGACGCTAACTGCAACGAAAAATAGAAATCGGCCCCAGCGGTGGACACCTGCAGTGAAACACGCGCTACAACGTAGAAATAGGGAATGGAAAAGGTTTGCGCAATGCCACATCGCTTGGCGTAAGTATACAAGAGAGCGAAATATTGCTGTTAAAGTGAAGCGGGCGGTAAAATACGAATTTGAGATGCGAATAGCTGTCAAAGCCAAAACATGCCCCAAAAAGTACTACAGTTACGATCAGNGGTCTTACGGGA